GGCTCTCTTTTCTTGACCAAAGCACAGCTTAGTTCTTACTTCAATTCTCTTTGATGCTTCCTAATAATATTAACTAACGTGTATCGAAGACTCCCACCATCTACTAGAAATTGTTCTGAATGCTTAAATCATCCTCAAGCCGATAAGGGTTCAGCTTCAATCTCTGAAGAAAAAAGTTTTAGTGATGTGACACAATTTCCAAACCTCGAAGACCCTGGATGAGGCCTTATGAAAGGACAGCAAACAGTTTTCAAGTGTCCACTCAGGGCTTGTACTTACCCACAGGGACAGAGGGCGAGTCTCTGGATTTCCTGACCAGTCGGGACAATTGGCTTTCATCTTCATCTGCTGACCACTGGTTATCTGAAGACATCGTCTCCCTAGGAACAGTGGTTGCTGTGAATCATTAAAAAAAATCCATTTACTCTCTCCCAGGCAACTCAGACTCTTGGTGATGTGTTCATCGATCTTTATTTGCTTGACACGTCTGTCTGTCCAACTGAAAGGAGCAGGTGTCTTCCGAATCCTCATTACAGAACCCTGTCCTTTTATCTGGGGGTGAGGAGCAGGGGCTGGGAGGTTGGGAGGGCATAAGAGGAACATGCAGAAAGAGAGCAACTGATCATGAGATCCTGTGCGTCCAGAGTAAAAGTGGGGAGCAGTGTAAGAGAAACACGGGAAAAGAGCTGGAACGATCATCAGATTCCATGCACACAGTGTGAAAATAAACCATCTCCTGTCATCGAGACACACCGCGCAGCATTTGAGATGACTGGGAACCTCAAGACTTCTTCCACCAGCCTTAGCAACGTAGGGGTTGTGCCACACAGCTGCGTTTTAAAGAATAATGCCAATGTGGGTAGAAATAATAGCAGACCTTGGGGTGCTGGGACAATGATCACTTGTGGAAGATGTCCAGACTGTATCAATATTTTCTTTCTATAAAAATTTTTTAATTTAATTAATTTATTTTTTAACAGTTTTATTAGGGGCTCATAGAACTCTTATCACAACCCATACATACATCAATTGTGTAAAGCACATTTGTACATTCATTGCCCTCATCATTCTCAACACATTTGCTCTCCACTTAAGCCCCCGGCATCAGGTCCTCTTTTTTTCCCCTCCCTCCCCTCCCACTAGGTTGCTAGGCCACTGACCATGCGCAGACCCCTCCTGGCCTACATAGCAAGAAAGAAGGTGATCTCAAAGACAACTCTCCCCTCCCCAGCCAGCTTCGCAGCCCCTCAAGGGGCTATCATCATTTCAAATCCAGTAGCTTCATCCTGAGGAGAAGCTTTCATTGTGGCAGAAGCACCATACCTGTGTCACCTTTGTTGATGCTTGTCACCTGGGGTCTCCGGGGCAGGAAGCTGAAGATCTGAGCAGGTATCATCAGGCAGGGACAAACTGATGTGCAATCTCCACCCACAGGACAACGGGAAAGCCCAGAAACACATGTGGAGGGGGAGGGAGACCCATTGGTCAAGGTTTGCTCCACCCCTACTGTGCAATCACGGGTAGCTGTGCTCGGGCACAAATCCACGGAAGGTTTTCTGAGAAGAGGCATTTGCTTAATCATGCTGGGTCTCTGGAGAGCTCTCAACCTCCCCTGTGGCCACAACCCCAGTCCTGAGTTCAAAGCCAACAGATACGTGGGTACAACAGGGGTACAAGAGCAGGCCAAGAGAGGGAGTTTAGCCATTCAAGACTGAGGTGTGTCCCAGGGAGGCAGAGATTTGGACTTTGCTCTCCCCTGAGCTACCTGGCTGTTAAAAGATGGGGGCCTTGAACCTGCCGCCCTTGTGTAACTGTGAGCCTCAAGCAGCTGTCGGGGAATGAATGGTGTCATAGAGCCCATGCCTATCCTAGGGTGGAGGACTTACGGGAGAAGGAGCTAACAGTGTCTGCTCACCTGTCCCTGCGCACCTCATCTGAGGCCTATGGAACACGACATGTGGGGGCTCAGAGCAAACTCACTCTCTCTGAGGGCAAAACTTGTTGACGTTCCTAGTCAGTAGGCAGAAGCAGCACGATGGAGGCGGAGTCTATGTGGAGACTCAAAGGGAGTCGGGGCTCCCACTGTAAACAGCAGCCTTCCACAACGCCAGTGCTCAGAAAACAAGCCCTAACACAGCTGCAGGAAGAGTAACCGAAGGGGTGGGCGCTCTCCCACACCCCTGGCTACTGGCCTTCTCTCAAAAAACGCACTCACAGGACAGGGGAGTGTATGCAGCTAGGAAGCAGACTAGGGGTTCAAAAACCTGGGACTATCGGAGAACGATGAGGAACGGTTTAAAGAGTACAGTTTTGGGGACGGAATGATGAAGTGTTCTGGAATTCATAGTGATAGTTGTACAACACTGTGAATGTACTTAATGCTAATCACTTGTACACGTAAACATGGTCAATGTTAGGTTAATATATTTCCCCACACTAAAACACTTCCATCATGTTTAAAAAAATTATTATTATTTAAAAAAAATTTTTTTCCATCATGTTTTTTTAAAACCAGAAATTTCTTTTCCCACAGTTCTGGAGGCAAGAAGTCTGAATTCAAGGTATTGATGGAGCCATGCACCCTTCAAAGGCTCTAGGGGAAAATGTGTCCTTGCCTCTTCTAGTTTGTGGTGATTTTAGCCCAGGGCGACCTATGTGGATTTATGATCTCCGGGACTGTAAGGAGATTCCCTTTTAGTGAGCATTTTATCTTAATTTTAAATAGTTGTATTGGCACTTCAACCACAAACAATTCAAGAATTCAATTATATCAAGAAGAGTTGTACAGTCATTTCCACAATCAATTTTAGAACATATTTGTCTTCCTTGTATTCATGGCTATTAGTTTTGTGTTGTTTTATAAGGCACATCGTTGGATTTTTTTTAAACATTATATTAGGGGCTCATACAACTCTTATCACAATCCATACATAAATCCATGTGTCAAGCACGTTTGTACATTTGTTGCCATCATCATTCTCAAAACATTTGCTTTCTACTTGAGCCCTTGGTGTCAGCTCCTCATTTTCCCTCTCCCTCATGAACCCTTGATAATTTATAAATCATTATTTTGTCATGTCTTACACTGTCCAACATCTCCTTTCACCTGCTTTTCTGTTGTCCATCCCCCAGGGAGGGGGTTATATGTAGATCCTTGTAATTGGTTCCCCCTTTCTACCCCTCCTTTCCTCCACCCTCCCAGTATCACCAATCTCACCACTGGCCCTGAGGGGTTCATCTGTTCTGAATTCTCTGTGTTTCCAGTTCCTATCTGTACCAGTGTACATGCTCTGGTCTAGCCAGATTTGTAAGGTAGAATGGGGATCATGATAGTGGGGGGAAGAAGCACTAAAGAACTAGAGGAAAGTTGTATGCTTCATCGTTCCTACACTGCACCCTGACTGGCTCATCTTTTCCCTGCGACCCTTCTGTAAGGGGATCTGCAGTTGTCTACAGATGGGTTTTGGGTCCCTACTTCTCACTCCCCCTCATTCACAATTATATGATATTTTGTTCTTTGATGCCTGATACCCGATCCCTTCGACACCTTGTGATCACACAGGCTGGTGTGCTTCTTCTATGTGGGCTTTGTTGCTTCTCAGCTAGATGGCTGCTTGTTTATCTTTAAACCTTTAAGACCCCAGACACTGTATCTTTTGATAGCCAGGCAGCATCAGCCTTCTTCACCATGTTTGCTTATGCAATGACTTAGTCTTCAGCGATCGTGTTGGGAAGGTGGGCATCATGGAATTCCAGTTTAATAGAACAAAGTGTCCTTGCATTGAGGGAGTACTTGAGTGGAGTGCACATAGATCTATTTCCCCATCCTCATATATAAATATATTTACATATGTACATGCCTGTATTTAGAGCTCTATAAATGCCCTTTGCCTCCAAGTTCTTTCCTCTGTTTTCTTTTCTTTTCCTCTTGTCCCACTATCATGCTCAACCTTCATTTGGGTTTCAGTAATTCCTCTCGATTACATTACCCTTGATCAAACCCTACCAGGCCTCTTAGACCCTCCTCACCACCGATTTTGGATCACTTGTTTTTCCCTTGTCCCTGGGTTTGTTAACACCACTTCTTTTCCCTCACCTCCCCTTCTCCCATGTTCCCTCCCCCCCCAACCATTGGTCCCATTGTTTTCTCCTCCAGATTGTTTATCCAGCCTATCTTATCTAGATAGACTTGCAAAGATAATAATATGCACAAAAACAAGACGGAGCAAAACAAAGCAACAAAAGAAAAGAAACAACAACAATAACAAAAACCAATGACAAAAAAGAGAAAAGCCTATAAATAGTTCAAGGTCTGTTTGTTGGCCTTTAGGAGTATTTTCTGGTCGAGTCTGATGGGGTGCCATGCCCTGGCCCCAAAGTCTATTTTTGGTATTCCCTTGGGACTTCCTTGCTCTGCTCCCCTTGCTGTTCTGTTACACGTCCATAGTGTTTTGCCTTGGTGTGGTCAGATGGGGTAAAATTCCCACACTGTGTCTCCAGTGTTGTCCCCTGTAGGGTTATGGGTCAGTGAGGGATGTCCTGACTCATAGTGGGGCCGGCCATATGGTCCTCTCTGTGGATTGGCTGCTCTGAGAGGGAATATCGTCCTCAAGGCTTGGTGTGCCAGGTTGTGCTCCATTCTCTCTTCCTCCCACTTTATTTGCTCCTGTGTGTGCTCTGATCAGACATGTCCCTCTCCCTGAGCTGTAGCTTCAGTGCTGTCCTCTGAAGTGAATTCTTCTGGGGGGAGGGGTGGCTGTCTACATAGTTGGGATTAGGGCCGGCACTTCAGACCTCTCTACTGGTTAGGCACACAGTTTTTGTTGCCTGAAACAAGTGTCTGGGCTTGCCTGCCATTGTTTCAGTCAAAGATGGAGATCAGGTTGATTTGAGAAACTTAAAGTTTATTCTGCCAGTGAGAGAAAGAAGGAAAAAGTGGGGTTTGCTTCTGCCAAACTGCTTCAAAGATCAAGAGAAGATCAAGCAAGTTATAGACCCTAAACTGTGTGCCAAAAAGCAGGGTTTGCAATGATCCAAGGATACAATTACATATCCCTACCTTTCTCTAGGGATTATCAGACTACCATCTCCTGAAGCATCATAATTTTGCTTCTATAAATGGGGGATGCTTCTTGCCTGGCTTCCTACCTTCATGGCCTTGCTTGCCTCCTTGAGTTAGAACATACCTACTGATTGAAAAAAAATACTGTAAGGGAGGGGGCTGTTATAGCTTAGGTTTCAACTAACAACATCTTAAATTATATTTCGAGTATTTTCATTTAGGAAACTGAGGAACAGAATTTGTATGTGGACAAATTCTCTATACTCATAATTAAGAAGCTTGGGAGGCCAGAAGTATGAATGGAGGGAGGGCTTCACATTTGTGACTTGGGGAAGAGTCCCAGTCACATTCTCCTAATTAAAAGTCATCCCCACGCGATCCTCCTATAGTAGTGCTGCCTCAGTGATCTCTCTTACAAGCATTGGGCTGATTGCTAACTCACTAGCAGCTTTATCTACAGAAGCAGACTTGGTCCTATTGTTCACCTCACTCAGGGGACAGTCACTCCCCCTTACCTGCCCCCAGCATCCGTGTTACTTTTCCAACGAGCTCAGGCACCTGTTGGGTTAGGATACTGCCCACCTTGTTAAGTGGGTAGGTGTCTGTAGTTGGAGGGGTGGGGTTAGGGTGGGGCTTGCATGCCCAGAGAACTATATAAGTTGATGAAAGAGTACATTTTCTCTCTCTCTTCCACTTGGATCTGGTTCTTGGTGCCATGAAGGAGATGAGCACCTCAAAGCTTTTGTCTGCCTCTTAAATTATTCCCTTCAATTACACAACAATCCCGTAGGACTCATCTGGATGTGCGCTGGCTCCCACATATGGTGCCCTGACTCTGGGACTAAGAAGGCCTCCTTTAGGAGGAATAATCCCGGTACAGACAGTTGTGCAACCTCATTGGACAGTTGGGTGAATCAGGAAAATTATTTTAAAGTGAGCGTCCAGTTGAGGGATTATTAAGTATTTAGATAGAATAATGGGCAAGGTGAGAGTACATTTAAAATTTACTGTATTACTTTCACCCACCTACTGAAGAACAGAATATAGTAGTAACCAGCAAAAACATGCACCGTGTTCTACAAGTAGCTAAAAAGTATAAGCTATTGTTCCGTGAGGAAGGAACTTTTGATCTAGAGACCTGGGAGATGGTGGCTGTCAACTTAAGGAGCGTGCACAGAGAGAGGCAGAATATACGCAGGGAATCCCGGGCTCTGTGGGTACAAGTTAAAATGACTTTAGATCCTCTACAGACAACAGGACAAGAAAAGGGAGCATCAACGTAAGGAAAAGCCTGACGTGAGCTTTGCATCCTCACCGGAGCAGACAAAAGTCACCC